CGGGTCGAATCACCCCAGGTAAGCGAAAAAACTTCAAGGATTTGCCGAGCCACTGCCTTCAAAGTCATTGTGTTAGCCTAATTACGGAACACTGGTATTCCAGACACTTTCATTTGAAATTGCAATGTGATTAGTAAGGAGTTATAGCTATGATCAGCGGTCAGCGGTGCATTAGGCTCAACTACGCAATAGAATTACTATCAACGCTTCCTGAAGTGACAAGCACATTGAAAACGCTACTTGTAAGTGTACCCCTATCGCATACGACGGAAGTTCCTGTTGTATACGACGAGACTATCCGAAACACTCGTCCATGCTTCTGCGATTAGAAACTTGAGGCCATCAACGCAACGTCTAGCAAGTTCAAGAATATCCCTTTCAAGTAAATGGTTCCAAGTGATAAATTTTCAAAAACGATTAACACCGAGAGTACAGAAATTTGTACATCTGAAATCAGTAAATCTGGGTAATCCAGATATTGTTTCAAAACTTTACATTCTCATTAAAGAATGACGCTCATAGTGGTTTAGGTGGGCTAGTTTGATTGAAACTGTCGTAACTTGTGTAAATCAGTGATATCTGTTTGACAAACAAACAGCAAACATTCTCAATTGTTTGGACAACATGTATATGCTTGAACATTATAGCCATAAGTATTAGCAGGAGAAAGAATAAGAACAGCCCTGAACAAGACCTTCTTCTTGCAACCTTATTGCTGCTTCGTATAACTCATAAAGTAAACTAGCCAAAAATGACACCTCCAATTTAAGCAGTTGTGAAAGTTGACGCACTCGAACACATCTTGCACAAGTTTGAAGTCATACCGGATGAAAATCAAAAAATCCTTTTGAAAAGTTGGGAGACTTACGCATTAGGGGAATCACAGGAGGGCTGCTAACTGCAAACCAGAGTCTCAGACACTCACACCGGTCGGCTGTTCCATTATTTAGGGCGGAGCCAAATGCCGGCTGGCGACCGTTCGAGTAAAAATGCCAGCCGGCGGCCGTTCCAGTGTGCAAAAGTGCGGCGATTGCACCAAGTTGCGCCTACCGTCCTCGAGAACAATGAATTTCGACATGCTGACCTTTTGCCAAAGAAGCTATATTCGGATTTCAACATTCTATCATGGCCATTGTACTGAAATTAGCTTTCTTACACAATTTGTACCACTCTCCAATTCCTTTCTTCTGGTTTACCGTTCCATTTCGTCTTTTTTAGTATAGAATCGTATGCATTATACATATTTTTAGATTCATCCGAAAATAGCCTGGTGCGCGACGCCTCAGAAGGGGGTTGGCGTATATGGAAGTGAGTTTAGTTATACATTCTTGCGGCGGAACAAATTTTCACGAAAAACATGTTCTTTCCAGAAGCTTTCGAAGAGAGGATGCGCCAGCGGCAGCTGGACGTCGAACATAAGCAACGTCTTCGGGAAGTCTCTGCCGAAAGAGGTAACTTCGCTTACTGTGTCAAACAACATTACAGTGGCGTTAGATCCCATTTATGTTTTTTTAACATACTGTACTTTCAGGGTAGCTCGGTGTCGAAAGCGCTGAGGAATCACAGGAGCCGGAGACTTTGTCGGCAGCTGCAGGTAGGTTTTGATGTCGTTTTGAAGCAGCACTTTCCACATTCTTTTTCTGTGGTCCACTAATGATCAGAGGCTTGATTCTTTCTGCCTTTTTTCGAAGTCCCTCCAGACAATTCTGTTCTGCGGTGGACTCATTCCAAATCAGTCTATTATCTTCCTTGAATTCTCTTCTTTTACTCATCGAACATCAGGAATTAAAAGTGAAGGGCCTTTTGCTTTCTCCGCCCTTTCATCCTATCTGTTGCCTGCCTTCCTCTCAACTGCTTTATCTTTTCTCTTGAATTGCTTTAGCAGATTGGCTTTGCATTAGGAACTATCGTCATCTACTATCCTTTCTCAACACCAAATTTTGCTTATTTACTGTTAATGCAAAGCCAGTACCAGAAGCGTTCATCAAAGTGAGCGAACGCTCACGTTCAAGAAGGAAACATGTCTTAGGAACCTGCCGTACTTCGCCCACAAGCGCAAGAACGCCGAAAACCGCCAGAACGCCACTTTTGGCTGTAGAGCATTAGTTTTTGAGATATGTCCCGATACCGGAAAGTTACCTGATGTTCATCACGATTTTTGATCTACATTTTTGATCTACATTGAAAGTTAGTTGTACTGGTTGACATTTGGTAGTATGGTAGTTGGTACTGTTGGTAGGGCACTTGCGTGCTGTACAGGTAAATAATGATCTTTCGCTTGGTAGTTTTCTGAAGGTTACGGCGCATACGGTATGAGAATTTTCAGAGTTTGCTGTAATGTTGCCTAGGGGTTGGACGTTAGGCAGGAAGCAGCAAAGCTAACCGCCTTTGCTATGGGGGATCCCTGAAGAGTTGAAACTTCCTCGCATTTGAATCACTATTCGCACTATTCGCTTTTTACGAGCAAGGGAACCAAACAAAAATGCTCTTTAAGAGTAGTTCACTCTGGCCCGTGTTGGAAATTTTGGGTCTTTCAAATCTCAGCTATAACCGGTATCAACTTACATAAATTTTGGGTTCGAGGTTTGCTTACCATATACAGTATTAAGTTTTCTTCGAAATTTGTGAAGTAGAAGGGAGTAATTGTGCCGCAGGAGCAAGATAGAGCAATTTCATAGAGCAGGTTAATCTTTGGAATCAATCTAGAAATCTCATCCCCTTACACCGTTTTTGATGTCAGATGAGAATGATTTTTATGAGCTTTTTAGCTCACGTTTCATCTGTTCTGAAAAACATAAAACCTGTATCTCGCAATTTATCACGCTCGTGAGTCATATCTAATAATTAGAGGCGCAACGAAGTTTGAAGCACTGGTATTTCCATAACCAGAAACGGGAAGCCCCTGCTGCCCTCTGCCCGATTGCCGGACTATTCCACATGCTTACCATATACAGTATTAAGGATCGCATATTTACTAGGTAGTTCCAGAACTTTGTGCAAAAGATTATGCGATTGCTTACGCGAGTCCACCAAATTGTAGGCAAGCCTGTGACTTTGACCCCCGCGTGTAGACCTACTGTAACCGCGTTTGTGACTTTTTCAAGCAAACCGCTGTGCTTGTATTTTAATCGAATTCCATAAGCTAAAGTCTGGTAATCTGTGATTCGATTTCTTACCAAATACCTACCGTGACATCGCCGAAAAAGTTTAGAACGCTCAATTGGTGATGTGTGGTAGCGTATCAGTAACCGCTGTATGCCAAATTTTAGTCAAATGGGTTCCAACCCTTTAGGGACTGCGTTAAAAGTTTTAAGGACGCATCAAAAACTAAATTTATTTTTGACGTGCATTTCGACTTAGTAAAAAAGAAACTTTGCGTTTTCATAACAAATTTCTTTTCTGTTTATCTTCTTTTTGATAACCACTACTTTCGAAACAATGTTTTTTGAAACAATTACATAAAAGAAATTAGCATCTCCTCGTTTTTCCCGTGAATTGTGGTCCTGGAGCGAAAACCTGCACTTTGAAAGCCGCAAAATGGAAGATTTCAGACCTCATTGCAGCGTTTTTATCCGGTTCGAGCAGTTTCTTTTGCTTTTTATACCCGTTTTGCGTTTTGTTCTTCTCTGATCTTCTACAAACAACCTTCACTTTCTTATGAGGGCAGATGTTCAAATATCCTTCGCTTTTGACGCCTTGTCTCTAGATCATCGAAGGTATGGCTCATGGATCCTCGATCTACTCCTTAACTTTGTAAACATATCAGTTGATGTGAATGCGAGTAAATGCGCATTTATAATCTAGTTTAGCTACTGAGGAAAAAAAATCTTGTACTACGCCATCTTCGTTCTCCACTTCGGACTTTCAAGCGAGCTAATCCGGCGGATGGAGGAGTTGATGACAGTACTCTATGGGACCATGCCATCCATCAGTGTATTTAGTTGTATTGTGTACCCATGTTATCGAAAAATACCCACAGAATTTAGTATCTTGGACATGTTCGCGAACTGGATAGGGAGAGCTTTTGAGCGAATTCAATCGGAAGCGTTATTTCTTCTGCACGTCCTGCGGCAGTCGCTCGCGCGAGTGGAGGGAGCTCTGCGAGAATGTCGGGTGCGCTCTATCGGTGGGGATGATGATACAGAAGTTTCGAAATAATGTCAGCATTTTTTCACTTCAGTGTCAGCATCAAAAGAGCTAGAGCGGTGCAAAGGACCGAGATTCATGTGCTCAATGTCATTCCACAGTTATCCGATATCATATCGGTTCATATTGAGCATATAATCGAATTCCATCGCGAGTTGCACGAGTTTAGATCAGTGTATCTTACTTTAGAGCTCCATATTAAGTTTTAGCCATTTCAATCACCACGGAATTAGGTTCGCAGCTGATAGAAGTGACCCACCGCATTTTGATGGCTATCGTGAAACCATAGAGAGTGCCGAAGAATTTGCTGCAGATCGACTTCGCTCTTTTGACGATCTCAGTAAGCGGCTTTATTCCTAGGCGCTTGTCACGGTATCATTTTGAACGTTTTTCTGGAGGCAAGAGGATCTTAATTTGGTACAACTCTTAGCCGTGAAGTTTGACCGCTCTATCTTAGCATTAGAATTTGCCCAGATCGGAAGGTAACAACTATCTTAACTCTCTGCTTGCGGGCGCACTATACTCACCAATTAAGCCTACCGAAACAATGATGGAGGCTTTATTCAGCAAATGATTCGCTTCACCTTTACTTCGGAAAATTGATGAGAGACATCTAGATTGGAAGCAGAATTGAACACATTGCGTGAGACCCTTGTCGTAGTCGATCTAGATGGAGTAATGTGGACCGTAGGATCTGCATAGGAAACGTTCACCACCGGCTCAGGTACGGTTTCAAAAACCACGAGCGCCGGCAGCTTAGAGGGTGAGCTCATTGTTTTCCTGCATCGCAAACGGCGTCATTATGTTGAAACCAGCTGCGGAGCTCATTCACCGCCAAAAACGGCAAAATTTATTCAATAAGACCGCGTACGAAGCGAGGCTTCTGATGTGCTCCTCTTTTGCCGTTGTGCAGAGACTTGCAGGAGTTTGTTAACTGGGAAACTACAGCTCGTAAGCTTCTGTTGTGTTGGTTTGTGCGGAGCATCAGGAATCGATTTGGAGTTGAGGCTCATAGCACCCCAGGCTTCAGGTAGGCGCCATCCTCCATCTCCTCGTAAGCTCATGAACTCAGTAGGATATTTCGCTGCAGACAAGCTCACACGCCGAATGGACTTGATTGGAACTAATCAGGAACCACAAAAAACACTGGTTTTTTTCCCTTAGGAACTGTAGAAAGTCGTACGAGCTGGAAGCTCCCCCACCGTTTATTAGCGTGGGTGTATCATGACAGCTTGCGAGTACCAAACAATTTGACTCAATTTTCGCTAAATGACTTAGTGTTGGATTACAACTTCAACGCGAACGACAATAGAACTGCCTTCCAGAAGTTCACTTCGCTTTATCGTGTGCTATTTCAGAGGGTCAGCCCTATGATTTTTGCTTTATATCCTTCTATCCATGTTCTTCATTTAGATTACCGACCCGCCTTACCAAATCCAGGAGTACTCTGTGCGACTTAACGCTAAGGGAGGGCGCGACAAAATTCTCAAGAACCTCCCCCGCTCCGTGGAGATCCTTAATGATGGGTAAGAAGTTTCACATTCTACAAGCCCAGGCGTATCGGTTAGTTCCAGACTTCGTCGAAGACTTAATCGGCTACGGGACTGACGAAGCACGGACGGGAGAATTAACTCAGGAGAGGCAGTTCTACAGAGGAGCGATTTTCAAGGCTTTACAAGTCGCGCTGTATGACGTTTGTGCCGATGTTTTACAGACTCCCATAATTTATATATCAGACGCGATGTAAGACAGAGCCGTTACGATCACAACGCAGAGCGGTTCGTTGCAAGCAGTGTGTTTTCATTCATTTACCATTATATTCTGCTGGATATAAATATGCATTTTGAGCGAAAAGGCAAAAGAGTACGCGTCTCGGACACGTCAGGTGAAGCTGGAGCGGGAACGAGAGCATCTCGCCATCAGACCACAACGAACAATGCAGGAAGGAGTCCGCCCAGAGCTGGGATGGCTATGAAGGCCATCATGTTTATCTGTATCATCCTGTACTTATAGTTTTTTGTCGTCTTTGCCTTTTTTTTCTTCTTGTGCACGCGCTTGATTTAGCTGGATGTAAAGAAACTGAATTCATCTTCTTATTTTGATTCTTTTGTGTTGCACGCACGGACACTTTAGTGGGCTCTAAAAGCGCATTGCACATGTGCCTCAGAAGTAATAATGATACTCACTATATCTTCAACACTGCTATTTTTGAATTACTCTTCAAGTTTTGCTTCCTCTCTCTTCTTTGAAGACTTTAGACGCTGCTTCGCTTTGCTTTCCCTTGCTCAAGTGCTTTTTGTAGGCTAAAACTCGAGCTATTTATATGAGCATTGAAAATAAAAACGCCCAAAAAACTCATTATGTATTAGGTTGAACCGAGACTTCGTTCGCACCATTTCAAAAAATCGTAACTTCTTTGTCTTAGGATGATTCCATTAGGCAAAAATATGTTAGGAAGAGCAAAGCGTGTGCTTTCTAATGGCACCTTGCTTGACTTTTACTAAGCTTTCAGAGATAAAATTGCAAAAAAGTCGGTTCAATCTCGATATTTTGAGGCAAGCCCGCCAAAAATTCCAAAAATGTGCCATAAAATCCAAAACAGAATTCGCAATTTTTGGCATTTTTTTGAGAAAAACGCCAAAAAATCACTTTCTTAAGATTGATTTTTGACATTATTTTCCAAAAAATCATAACTTTTTCAAAGGGCTTGATTTTCGCGAATTTTGCTCAGCTAGAAAGAGGGAATCAAAAAACCTAGGATACTGCCTGTTTTGGATTTCATGGCACACCTTTGGAATTTTTAGCGGGCTTGCCTCAAAATACCGAAATTGAATCGATTTTGTTTTCGCAATTTTATCTCTGCAATCAAGGGAGTAAGAGGCAAGCAAGGCGCCATTAGAAAGCATACGCTTTGCTCTTTCTAATTTCATTTTTGTCTAGTGAGATTATCGTAAGACAAAGAAGTTACGATTTTTTGAAATGGTGCGAACGAACTTTTTATTCAACCTAATATTTTTGGGAACCAAATCGCTTGAATCTGATTCTTCGATCGATTCCATCACGGATCCTCACTTTATCCAGGTATTTTCATCTCGTATGTAATGTGCATATTCTTTCTGCTTTCTGTGACCATTTCTCATTGCATTCCAAATTTCTGTTATTTTTGTATTACCTTTATTATGCATTCTGAAGGAAGTGCAATTTTTTCTTGCTTGCCGGTGCTGTTTGCTATTATATGCATCATGTGCTCGTTTTCTTAAGATGTGTATTATATTTGTTAATGTGCATTATATATGTTAATAAAATTTAGTGTGGATGTCATATTGTCAACAGAGTATTGAAGAAAAAGCAACTAACAGAATAGGTATTGGCCACTGAAGAGCAATAGTGGGCTCTAGTGAAGGCTGCATAACCGATTTCCTCCCATACCGGCTGGCGACGGCGCGATCTGTATGGCGCTCCATTGCTAATTCAAGGCGCGCTTCCACTATGTACCGGCTGCCGGCCGTTCGGATTCCGGCTGGCGGCCGTTCGAGTACGGCCGGCGGCCGGCTGGCGACCGTTCCGGCCGGAATGTCGGCGACAACTAGCCGGTTGTCGAACGGTCGCTGGCCGGTGCGAGTGTCTGAGGTGCGCATGCCGCTACAGTAAAGATGCTAGAGTCCTACAAAGAATCTGCGTCTCAGCCTTGGACTTTTCACTCGCGCAAATTCAAATCATAAGGCATTGCGAAAGCTTGTTCCGTTATTTTTGCGCCCATGGATATGAATTTATAACTCAGCGTAGCAAAAAAGCTAGAGATTGAGGAACCAGAACACCGCTTAATCTTTTGTAAAATTGCGCCCATCATGGTTTATATATGGCATGGGCACGACTGTTTAGGAGGTTGAGTATTGTGTTCCACGCGTTTCATTACACTATCGTTTCACCAGTCGTGCGGTGGTTAAGATAAATAATTCCAAACGAGTAAATCTTTGTAATGATGTAAGAAGCGAGCATTTCGCATTTATAATATACATAGATGACATCAGCATTATGAACATACAGCACATAACTTCGTATTGTCCAATCCCATATTTCAATAGAAGTTGGATCAAAGAGATCTTTGAATGATAGCAACAAGCATGAAGGCAAAAGATATGAGGTTGATTATGAAGCATAAATTAGCAAAATGTTTCAACTGAGCCAACTTGGCGACGCAACAACTGTACTAATGTAAAGCTTCGTTAAAACTAAAGGAGACAGGACATAAGGAGATAGTATTACTCCGAAGATTACTTGCGGTGATAGAATAATTGGAGAGAGCACAAATGGCGATAGAATTAGTGGAGTTCCGACACCCGGCGTCAGAATAATTGGATTCAAAACGAACGGAGTGAGTATGAGGGGTGTGAAAACCTGCAATCATTGTAGTTGTGTGCCTCCTAAATTGAAGTCTCTGACTAACCTGGGGTGACAAGATAAAGGGTGACAGCAGTAGCGGAGAGAGAATGAGGGGGTTGAAAATCCCCGGTGCAAGAATAAGCGGATGCAGAACCAGAGGAGAGAGGATAATTGGCGAAAAAATTAGCGGATTGACGATCAGCGGCGATAATAGACGGGGGGATAAGATTACTGGGATGAACACCTATAAAGTGAACTTATTTCTTGGAAATGAATAAACTGAAACCTACCCAAGGACCCAGAATCACAGGACCCAACACAGCAGGAGTGAGAATTGAGGGAGAAAACACTAGTGGCGAAAGTATAACAGGCTGCGAAAGAATTGGAGCGTTAGCTATTAATAAGGGACTTCTCACCAACGGCATTAGCACAATATCTTTCTGCCTCAGTTTCCACTGTTTAGCCTAATAAAGAAACTTAGTATTTGATTTATTGGTGCACTCGAGATACTTCGACTTACCTCCGCAATAAGGCGAATTTCATTTTGAATAAGGTGGTCGCTATTATTAGCATTCACATCTCGCAACCGCTTCAATGTTTCAGAACAGTTGTATGGAGAAGCCGGGCCGTAGAGTAGCAACATTTGTTCCTTTGTCATGAGAGAGTATCCATGCTTCTCCTGTTCCTCAAGCTAAACTCCTATTATTATATATAAATGAAGTTAAGTTATCAACGACTCATTTTCTGACTTACAACTTTAAATGAATTGAACCGAGATCTTACCTAGCATACTGACCAGTTTGCGCTATATCGCTATGCGAGTAAGTTTGAATTCCTGCGCATAAATTTCGCTGTGGTTTTCGAACAGATTACATAAAAAGCTTCTTTTTACTATAAATCAATACCCATCGTTTGCGCTACAGGGCAGTGCGAGCAGATTAAGATGAATAACTCGACAGAACTGAGCCAAATTCAGTGCCTAAGACCACAGACTGCTTTTCTCCTCCAGTTGAGTTCTTTAATAGAAGCGTTCTCGATCATCGAAAATGTTGGAGGACGTCTGGATAAAGGATTATTCCACTCTCTCAAGAGCCCGAAACTTTTTGCTGAGAGAAGCTTTGCAGAAACATGGCGTCAGAGAGAAACCAACTGAAAAATTTTTATCAGCGATTTTTGCTGTGATACCGGTCCTGCTGATTTATATACGTGTATAAAGCGTCGGTTCCCATAAGGACAAATATTTAGGTGCTGCAGAGCCAATGAACTGCCAAAAAAGATGTAAATTTGTTTTTGAAATTTTATATCTTTAAAATATGATCACGACTTGGTTCCGCTGATAAGAAAACATGATCGTTTGCTTCTTTTTTATCCACCACATCTCAGTATCCACAACGGAATATTTGCCTATCAGTCAGCTTGTTTTTCATACTTTTTGTTTGTTAATGACAAGTCGATGCGGTGACCTTTCTACAAAAACGACAGCATTTCTATTTTACATCGACGAGGGAGACCGAGTGTTTCACCCTACTTGTTGATTACTGAGAGTTTCACATCCTCATCTTTTGTTACCATTAAAAAGTTTTCGTTCAAGCAGTGACCTCTCTAATTAATGTTAGGAGAAACAAGACAACTGTCCAGAGGGCAATTATTGCAGGAAGGTGCGGGACAAGTGCGACATAACGCGAGGTAGGTGAAGGGATTATTGCTTCCCCAAGGGCGCGACTGGAAAAGCAGCGGCGGGCCTTTGGGGAATCCTGCACGCCCTCCCAAAAGTACAATTGTTTAAAAGTGCAATACAGTAACTAGTCCATAGCCATTAAGTATCATACCTTCGATAGTTCAGAGATAGGGCGTCAAAAGTGAAGTTTGTTTGAATATCTGCTCCTCGAGTGAAATGAAGGTTGTTTATAGAAATTCAGCGAAGAAAAAAGATACAAAAGCAAAATAGCAAAAGCAAAGGAAACGCTTGGAAACCGGATGAAAACGATGCAATGAGTTTGATATCTTTTATTTGGCGGCATTTAGAGTGCAGGTTTTCGCTCCAGGACCAGGCGATTCACAACACGGGGAAAACGAGGATAAGCTGATTTCTTCTTTGTGTTTGTTTTGAAAATAATAATGTTTTGGAAGTGGTGATTACCAAGAAGAAGATAGACAAGCAGAGCATGAGTTATGAAAACGCACAGCTTTTATTTTACTAAGTCGAAGTGCACGATGAAGCCAATCCAGGTTTGACGCGTTCTTTGGATTTTTACCCCGTACTGACGTTCCTGTTTCCTGGGAGACGTTGTCTGGATTGTGCGCACATTATTTTGCCCCAACTTGGATAACAACTGCTACGAAAGCAGTGAAAGGGAAATGTGAAAAAACCCATTTTTTACGATTTCTTACAAAAAATCCATAATCGAAGAAGCAAGCCCTGGGAAGTTGTCTACATTATAGAGAGTAACGAAATCTAATCAAAAAATATATCGAAAGCACAAAAAAAAACAGCTTGAAAGGTGTTGATTAGAGAAAAAACAAGAAATCGAAAACACCGTTTTAGCTGGATTTCTTGTTCAAATTGAAAAATGGGGTTCTGGGACGATGTCAGCGTAAAAATAAAGATCAAGAGCTTCAGTACTATATACAGCTGGCTGAGATTTGGTTCAGAACAACGAAGAAATGTACCAAAGCCAAATGCCCTGTGCCCGCGTTTGGGGTAGCGAGGTAGCGCGCAACGTGCGGAGACGCAGACGAGCAAAGGAGAAAAAGCAGAGTCGACGGGGCATTTGGCTCTGGTCGTATATTTTCTCGCGGTCTTAACGAAACCCTGCAACTTTGTATATCATTCTGATTGTCATGACTTGACTAAGAACACTGACAACGTCTCAAGCCGAAAATCGCTCATTAACGAGATAAACCGCATTTTTGTAGGCGTGGGTGCCCTCTTCTACGACCCCCCCCCCCCTGAAGGTACCTATCCGTATGACCCCCCCCCTCACCTACCCCCGCTCCCTCCCCTACCACCTACCCTCCTCCCCTCCCACCTACCCCTCCCACTTTCTTTTGCGGTAACCTGCATAAATGAATCTCAGTAGATGCCTGCTGTTGGACCTCAGTCAAAATTATAGATCAGAAATAGATAACTACTTATCCGAAAGTAATTTCGCTTTTTTTAAAGGGCGCTACATCTGACGGAACAAAGGTTTCTAAGAGATCTTGGAAGCATTTGGTGCAGAATTTCATTCTCTTTCTAATGGTTATGAAATTGTTGCAGAACAATCAATGAGCTTTCAGAAAATAACCAAAATCTGCGACCTATGTTTTTTGAGATAGTCAAGTTTCACAATTTTTTAAAACTTTCACATCAATCCTCAGAAGAGGTAGTGACGGTTCGATAGAGTAAACCTCATAGAATACAGTGCTATTTTTCCCTTTCTCGTAGCTTGTTGTAATTTTTTAAAAGATTTTCTAACAGAACCATCGGATTTTGGCCGGCCCACCTCAACCACAATCGCATCAAACATCAGTAAGTGCTCGGAAATTGAAGCTTCCAAGATGATATGTGACTTAATATTGATTTTATTAAGCAAATGAGAGTTTACGGATTCGAAATACTGAATTTCGAGTTTTTCGGGTATAGCCTTGGGCGCGTTCAAAAACATGAGTTATGACGATTTTTCCTCGAAAAGAAGGAATCGGAAACAAAAAACATTAAAAAGAGGAGAAAAAGCTGCATCGAATGACACCCAAGCTGCTCAAGGTTTGATGTTCTACGAGGATTTAGCTGCCCAAGTATGGAAATCGGTAGCATCAGTTAAGATTCTGTTAAAAATGGATGACAAGCTATGGAAAAGAGAAAAAAGTTGCACTGTATTCTATGAGGTTTGCTCTATCGAATCGTCACTTGAACCTCTTCTGAGGATTGGTATGAAAGTTTTAAAAAATTGTGAAAACTATCTCAAAAAGCATAGGTCGCAGATTTTGGTTATTTTCTGAAAGCTCATTGACTATTTTGCAACATTTTCATAACCATTAGAAAGAGAATGAAATTCTGCATCGAATGCCTCCAAGATCTCCTAGAAATCTTTGTTCCATTAGATGTGGCGCCCGTTTAAAAAAAGCGAAATTACTTTCGGAATGACCTAATAAATTGGGAAATAATGCAAGTAATGCTTCGCCATTCAATAACCAACTCACAAATAATTCTGCGTAGATTGGATAAGTAGTAAAATTCCACGAAGATGTGGCTATGTTTATTGTGGTTGGGAAAATATGAATGGAAAGGACATTATCTGACAAAGCAGAAAATCGATTCCGATCTGAATTGATAAAATTTGACGGTCACCGTTGGTAAAGATATGGGATTTTGTCGAGTGTGTGAGACTTCAGTGAGGCTTCGGAAGCAGATTTACTGAGCCAAGGGGTACGTGCAACATCTCTGGTACGCATGCACACCTTCAATAATGTTTTGTTTTCTGCAAGTTTTTTTAAAAATTTTAAGCAAATTCGATCCCCATACGTGACTGCATTTTTTTTTGAAGAGAGAAAAAACGATATTTTTAAAGCGAAAATATGTTTTCGACTAAAAGGCTACCTTTTGCACAGATTTTCCTACCTTTTGCACAGATTTTCGTGCGGAAAAAACTGTTTTAGCGCCATCCTGAACGAAGTCAAAAACGTGCATGAGCACGGTACTTTGAAAATTCGTAACTAAAGGCAGGGGAAGACTGAGAGGCTGCAATGAACAGACTCTGTAGTGAAGTGCCCATACTATCCATGTAAAAAGTTTAGCCATTAAGGAGCAGTAAGCTCGAAAAAATCTAGATGCGACTCTCGCAAATCTAGATGAGATCTTAAAAAGCAGAAAGTGGGATTTTTGAGCTTGAAATTTTATATCTCACCGGAGAAGTTATGAAACAGCCTGAAATTCTTAAAATAAAAGGTAGAGGGATGGTTTCGTATCACAGCAAGTTTGCAGCTAACAAACTTCAATAACCCCGGAGAAATTTAGATGAGGCGCAGATCCGACCCCCTTCCCCTTTTCTCATTTTTTGCTCCCATACATAAAATCATAAGAAAATCCACAGTTGACAAAATAACACCATTTTGCACTGATATAGCAGAGCATCCCCAAAGTACAGATAAATCATATGGGCCCGTGAAAACATTACAAAAAGATTTAGAAATTCATGATAGTCACGTCTGGTAAAGATATTCGCTTTTGTCGAATGTGTGAGACTTCAGGAACGTTTCAGAAGCAAGATTGCTAGGGCAATCGGTACACTCAGCATTTTTATCAAATCATACATCTTCAGAAGTGTTTTGAGCTCTTGTAAATGTTTTTTTTTTGAGAATTTCTACAGATTTTTTATCTTTTTTATTCTAATTTCCACTTTTTTAATAAAATTAATGTAAAGAACATAAAAAATTACCTGCGTTTTAATTCCCTTTTAAGCTTGGGCTATTTTAGTCTAACTACCTCCTCTTACGACCCCCCCCCCTTAGGTTCCCTTTTTACGACCCTCCGTTGCGACAGTCGCATCACAAGCTTGACGCTGCTTGCAGGGCAAACAAAGAAAAATAGTGCGTCAAAAATGGAGACGCAGGAAGACGCATCCTACTAGGGGTCGAGTACGCCCGGTAGTACCGGTAGTATCTTTTCCGCGAATTACTGGGCCCGCAGTAAACGCACAATTGTTCTGTGCG